TGTGAGCGCGTGTGTGTGTTTGTGTGTATATATGTGTGTGTATCTGTGTGTGTTTATGTGTGTGAGTGCGTATGTATGAATGTTTGTGTGCAGTATGTGTAATGTATACAAAAATACGGGAAGTGGAAGAAAGAGAGAGCGAAAGAATAAAAACAATTGCACACGCAGGTTGTAAAACACAACTAGGCATAATACATTATAAAAAATCTAATATTGCCAAGGCTGAGAGTAAAACAAACAACAAAACAGGGTACACATCCAGTTTGCAAATATTGTGTTTTACATCCTGTGTTAACAATTTTTCAAACAGCTTTGAACTGATGAAAGTCTTTCCAAGTCTAGTTTTGATCTGAGAAGCTGAAAACAGTCTTATTTCTTAGTCATCCTAACTTCTTTAGTAACCTATTGTGTCGGTCCATACACTTCCTTTTTTCTTTAATCTTAGTCTTTGTGTCTATGCATAGTTGAAACAACAAATATGTATATATATATATATCTATATATATATAATATATATATTATAATTATATATATGCATATATATATACATCATATATAAATATATGTAAATATATATATGTACATATATATATATTTATGTTGGTTGTTACAGCTAGCCATACGCAAAAGTAAATTTAGTCTGTAACAACCGACACAAAAATTTACTAAAAGAACTAGAATGACAAAGAACTACGTTTTAATCATGCTAGTTAAAGCATAACTTGGCTTGGATATAGTTAGATAAGTAAAAAGGAGCTTTGGAAAAACAATTAATAAACATCCAGGTTGTGGAATACATTTATCTGTTGGCTATCACATCCAAAACAGGGAGTGGAATGACATCCATAACAAGTAACCACAGAAAAACCCATAAAAACAAACAATAAGGACAACAAAGAAATAAAGCTGTTTTCAACTTGTTTGGATCATTACTATGCTTTGGTAGAGTTTAGACAGTGCAAAAATGCTTGTAAAATTTTATATCCAGGTTAAACCCCCCCCCCCTCCCCCAAACCCCACACACAATAATCTGTTAATTATTACAACTTGACCAAACATAGTAAGAAATAGTTTATAACTAATACTAATACTGAGAGTGAAACGACCGAAAAAAACATAATAAATTTAAAAACAAAAAATTATAGAAACAAAGAAATAAGGCTGTTTATAAATTCTCAGATCAGAACTAGGCTTGGATAAAGTTTGTTAGTATAAAGATCTTTGTAAAATCGGATGCAGAGGTTGTAAAACACACTTATTTATTTCTTATTACAAAAACTTGGAGTGTAACGAGCGACATAATCTATTATCTATTTGTGGTGGCCGAATTTTTCTTTTCAAAGGCTTTTTAATGCCTGCATCGATCGACATGCGGTTTTCGCCTAAAGATTCTTTAAAATATGTTCCAGATCATGACAACCTTCGTTTTTTTAAATTTTGAGACAGTTTTGCTGCAAAAAGCTAAATTTCTTTACTTCGCGATCGATTTTGTAGGCCACGCTTCTGTCTCTGTAATTTCAGAAAATCCGCCAGGTTTGTTTATTTCAGGTCGTACTTCCTTTCGATACTGCCGCGCATTGTCGCGCAATACTGAGCTGTACTTAAAGTGTGCGACCCGTATAGATCTAGATCTAGATCCTTCCTCGTGTTTTCTTTTTTTACTTGGTGCTAAATTCGACTTTGATTCTTTCGTTTAATGCCCATCCTCGCTTTTTCTGGACCCCTTTGTCACATTGTTTTTCTTGCTACTGGGAACAACGTCAACAGGTCTTAGATTAGAATGTAGATCAAAATCTAGATAGCGCCTGACCATACCGAAAAGAAAACGACGTTCTGCAGTTGGAACCCCTCGCGCTCGCAAAGGACGAGGTAGTAGGCCAATGTCTTTCTGTTGATGTTAATGTTCCGACCATCCCTTTCATTGAAAGGGGCCCCAGCTAGTAAGTTATTAAAGAAATTTGGATTATAAAGAAAAAAAGGCTGTTCCCTGCATCTGAGATCGACACCAGGCTTGGGTAGAGTACACACA